GACTCCTGGGTCTGAGGGAGCAGGGGCTGGGGGCCCGGACTCCTGGGTCTGAGGGAGGAGGGGCTGGGGGCCCGGACTCCTGGGTCTGAGGGAGCAGGGGCTGGGGGCCCGGACTCCTGGGTCTGAGGGAGGAGGGGCTGGGGGCCCGGACTCCTGGGTCTGAGGGAGCAGGGGCTGGGGGCCTGGACTCCTGGGTCTGAGACAGGAGGAGGGGCTGGGGGTGTAAGAGTTGGACCCCAGGCGTCTCAAGGACTTGGTGCTCCCAAGTGCTTGCTCCCACCCAGGTCCCAACCGTCCCCCACGGCCCTAGTGTGCGCAGCTGCCCTCTCCAGCCTCTGGAGGCAGAGAGCACCTGTTTGCTCATAGGAGAAAGAGGCTACTCATCCACCCCCAGGGCCCAAGTCTGTTTGCTTTGGAAACAAGGTGGGGGTGTCTCAAGTTATCTGGTTCATCTTTCACCCTTGGGCCATTGGGTGGTGCCAGGATGTGGGGGCAGGGGCGAGAGCCATCTGCGACCTGAGGCTTGACATTACCCTGCCCAGCAAGTGGTTTCCCCACTCCTCAGATGCTCCAATGAAGAGGGAGACTGAGTCACAATGAAAAGTGTCATTGAGCCCTTAGCCCCTTCTTCCCTCAGACCCAGGAGTGCAGAGCCCCCGCTCCCTCCTCCCTCAGACCCTGGAGTCCAGACCCCCAGCCCCCTCCTCCGTCAGGCCCAGGAGTCCAGGTCTCCAGTCCCTGCTCCCTCAGACCCAGGAGTCCAGACCCCTGGCCCCCTCCTTCCTCAGACCCATGTCTAGCAGGACCTGGGCTCTGGGTCACTGTCTCTACTCTGCCCCGCAGAGATGCCCGGCAAACAGTCAGATGAGGAACAGGTGGAGGCAGGGGCTGCCGAAAATGTAGCTGAGGAGGACCTAGGGGGCCTCACGGCAGAGGAGCTCCGGCAGGGCCAGGAGGCAGCCCTGGAGCTAGAGGACATGATGGCGCTAAGTGCGCAGACCCTGGTCCGGGCCGAGGTGGACGAGCTTTACCAGCAAGTGCGTTCCCTGGGCCAGGGCCGCTTTGGCCGGGTCCTGCTGGTCACCCATCGTCAGAAAGGTACCAGGGCCTGGAGACAGATGCAGGAGGGTCAGAGGGTGGTTGAATGGGTCACAACAGGTGCCCACTGAGGCCGGGGCGTTTAAGCAGGAATCACGTGTTGCCTCTGCCCCCCCACAAGGCTGTGTGTTCTTGGGACTCTCCCCTGCCCTCTCTGAGCCTCAGCTCCTCCTTCGAGAATGTGGGTGACTGAGCATATGTCGACAGCTGTAGTACCCGAGAGAAAGGGGAGCAGACAGAGCCCTCCCCTGTGGTTGTCCCCCGCGGGCTGGCTTCGTCTGGAACTTTCTGGCCAGGCGTGCGTACATCCTGTGTCGGTCCCCTGAGCCGGGCACAGTGTGGATGGAACTCAGAGTCAGCATCGACGCAGGGCACGCCTGGTAAGGCTGCCCAGGGGCTCGGCCCTCGGTGCTTGGAACCCAGAGCTGAGTCCGCGAGGCCTGCCTCCACAGCGGAGCTCCAGCCTGCACAGGGGGAGGGTGTGCAAGTGCGCCCGTCCAGCTGGCGCTGAGCTCTGCATGCTGGGGCTGGGGCGGGGGTGCTGGTTGGCCTCAGACAGCAGGAGCCCACCTTCTCGTGCTCCTGGAGGCAGAAGTCCCCAAGCAGGTGTGTCCCTGTGTGTCCACACCTGTGTGTCTGCGTCCGGTTCCTCTTTCTTTAAGGACACCGGTCACAGTGGAGTGGGGCCAACCCCAGGGACCGCGTTTTACCTCTTTCAAGACTATCTCCAGACAGGGCTCTGTTCTGCGAAAGGCTGTGAGGACTTCTTCCACCTCTGGATTCGGGGACGGGGGTGCATGGTTCAGCCCACATCAGAGACTGATGCAAAGAGCAAAAGGTCCAGACATGGGTCCTCCCTGACTGTGGAGGCACAAGGCCTAACGGGGGGCCAGGGGACCATGCTTTGTTGTACCTCCTGGATGCGGGCCCCTGAGCTGGAGGGGTCTGGGGCCCAGCACTCACAGCCCCAAGGGACGGACGCCATCAGAAATGACAGTGGCACATGCCACCATGGCTGAGGTCCAGGGCGCTGCTGCATCCAGCCGGGGGACAGAAGGACAGTGGTCCGCATGTGAGGCAAGGAGGTGACCTCTGTCCATCACTCCTGGGCTCCTGGTGAGGGCAGCGGGTGACTCTGCAGGTGAAGAAGCCAGAGTTCCTGCCCTCAGGGGACCTACACTCTTGGGAACTGTTTGCATGAAGGTTCCTCCTGGGATGACGGCCCCAGGGCAGAGCATCCCTTCCGCATTCCCTGCGGCTTTGGGGCTCGGGTTTGCTGGAGCCAGGAGCCAAACTAAGTCATCTGAAGTTCCGAGTGCAGTTTCCCAGGGGCCCCCCATCTGTTCCAACACAGCAGAGCAGAAAATCACCAAATGCTGCGTTACTGTTGTTATTAATTACCACGGACGGCGTTTTTGTGGCCACGCGGCGTGTAGGGTTGCACGGCAGGGAGGAGGCGGCAGTGGCGTTGGGGAGAGAGTCTGGGCCGGGGGCGCAGGGGGGCGGCCAGGGTGACCCTCGGCTCCTTCGCTCCCTCCACTCCTGTCCCTGCTGCCCCAGGCACGACCCTGGCGTTGAAACAGCTCCCGAAGGCGTCCACTTCCCTCCGTGGCTTCCTGTACGAGTTCTGCGTGGGCCTCTCGCTGGGCACGCACCCAGCCATAGTCACGGCCTACGGCATTGGCGTCGAGTCGGCCGACTCCTACAGCTTCCTGACAGAGCCCGTCCTGTATGGGGACCTCATCACCTTCATCCAGCCCAAGGTGGGTAGGTGGGCCCCTCCGTGGGCCCCTCTGGAGTTCACAGATCGCCACGGAACCAACGCAGTACCCTGGCGAGACTCGCCTGCCCTCATGGGCTCAGCCCAGGCCTCGAGGGGGTCATGTTAGATCTCCCCAGGGCTCACAGTCCCTCACGGGGTCACGCTGGGCCTCCCCATGGCAAGTCTGTTGGAGGTCCTTCATGGTCCTGGGCCCCCCGGGACTGAGGAGCACCTGCACGGTCTCAGTCCCCGGCCAGCTGTCCGCAGGGGCAGGAGGTCCTGACGCCTGTCCCCCGCAGGTGGGCCTCCCGCAGCCGGCAGTCCAGCGCTGTGCGGCCCAGCTGGCCTCAGCCCTGGAGCACATCCACTCCCGGGGCCTGGTGTACCGGGACATCAAGCCCGAGAACGTGCTGGTGTGTGACCCGGCCTGCCAGCGGGTCAAGCTCACCGACTTCGGCCACACGAGGCCGCGCGGGACGCTGCTGCGCCTGACCGGGCCGCCCATCCCTTACACGGCCCCTGAGCTCTGCTGCCCTCCGCCCCTGCCCGAGGGCCTGCCCATCCAGCCCGCCCTGGACGCCTGGGCGCTGGGGGTCCTGCTCTTCTGCCTGCTCACTGGCTACTTCCCCTGGGACCAACCCCTGGCTGAGGCCGACCCCTTCTACGAGGACTTCCTCATCTGGCAGGCGTCCAGCCAGCCCGACGACCGTCCTCAGCCCTGGTTCGGCCTGACACCCGTGGCCGACAGTCTCCTGTGGGGACTGCTGGACCCTCACCCCCGGAAGAGGAGCCCCGTGAGCTCCGTCCGGGACTACCTGGGGCGTCCCTGGAGGCAGCGGGAGGGGGAAGCTGAAGAGGTGGAGGAAGGGGATGTCGAGGAGGATGGAGAGTGAGGGGGGCAGCCCGAGCCCACCTTGCCTGCGGAGATACGGGAAGGGAACCGCGTGCCCGTGTCCTGAGGCTGCCTCTACCTTCTTGTGCTGGCTTTTGGCTTCTCTTTTACCCGTTTCCCTCTTCCTTTCTTCCTTACCTCCCACATGGCCATCCCTCCCGTGGCCTAGGGGGCCCCTGAGACAGCTGCATGCCTGTCCCACCATCGCCATTCCCCAGGGCTTTGGCACCTGCTGTCCCCTCTGCCCGAGGTCCTGTGGCTCCTTCCCTCGCCTCCCGCACACCCTCGGTGCTTCAGCTGCCCTGCTCAGTGAGGCCTGCCCTTGGCAGGCGAGGTCCCCGGCCCCGTATTCCCACTGCCTCCTTCTCCTCTGCTCCCTGCCCTCGGGGACGCTCATCCCCTTCCAGCTGTCCCTTTAGGTCCATGTGGTTCTTCTGTGTGTCCTGTGGGGGCAGGGGTCCCACCTGTCCTGTGAGGTGCCCCATGGAGCCGGCGCAGTCCTGGCCCGACGGAAGGGCCTCAGAGATGTCTGCTCAATAAACGCACCTGTCTGGTTCTGTGTCACCGCCTCTGTGTCCCTGTCTTCCAGTCCCCTCTCTCCTCCCGGGCCGAGTCTCCCCCACTCCCCCAGCCCTGCGTCTTCTGCCCACAGTCTGGGCTGGCCGTCGCCCTCTTCTCTCACCTAGCTTCACCCGGCACGTTGGTCTCCACGATGCTGCCGGCCTGTCCCTGTGGGGAAGACCCGACAGCATGTTGTCAGGGAGAGACCCGCAGAAGCCGAACACGGCCCCGCGGTGTGGCCGTGCCTCGTGCCGGAGGCTGGCGCGGATGCATGTCAGGACGGGGAGAGCCTGTCTCTGCGCGGGCCCACATGTGAGCAGAGGCCTTGAGCATCAGAGCCGCCCACGGACGGGCACTGCGGCTGGACTGCGGCGGGGATTTCCGGGGATTTCTGCAGAGGTGCGTGTCCATAAGCCTCTGGGCTCAGGGCTGTGCACAAGTCGTGGTGTGTGTGGGGGACACGGTGGGGTGTGACTCTGTCCTGGCCTGTGCGGGTGATGGGACGGTGTGTTTCATGGGTCCGAGTGTTTGAGCCTGTGTGTGAGGGGACAGCACGGAAGTCTGCGTGTGCTTGGCCCTGAGTGTGTGGACATCAGACCTGTGTTTGTATGTCCACAAGACCTTGAGCACGCGTGTGTGTAGCTGGAGGAGAAAAGTCACCCAGACACGGCTGCCAGTCACCAGCTGGGCCCCTCTCTCCTTCACACCTTCCCCCCCCTTGCCCCGGCCCCTTCTTGGCCGCTGCTGTTTGCAAACACTCTGTCTTCCTCTCCTCGCCTTCCTTGGCCTCCCGCCCAGAGCAAGGCTACAACTCAGAGCTGGATCGAGTGTCACTTTCTCCCAGGCCCATACCACCCCCCCAGGGCCCCTGCTGTGGCCTCCTAGGTGTTGCCTGGACTGGGGAGGGGGGTGTTAACAGCGCCTGCGGAGTGACCCCAAAGACCCTTGAATCTAGTTTCAATA